CTCCTGAGAGCGACCCATTCTTTCACAAATGTTTGTAAAAACAGTCTGCATGCCTAGGTGCTTGAATTTATACACCTGTGGCCATGGAAGTGATTGGAACACCTGATTCCAATAATTTGGATGGGTGAGCAAATACTTTTGGCAATATAGTGTAGCTATGTAGGTGGCATCTTCTCCCAGCCTTTGTGAAGAACAGACCCTGGATGATCTCTCTATGGTTCCTTCTGACTACCATGATCTTCATCTAGTTTTTGGCAAATCTAAAGCTCTCTCTAATCTGCTTCACCATCTATGCAATTGTGCTCTAGATCTTCTCCCTGGAGCTCCCATTTCACCAAGTAGATCGTATACAGTAGATTGTCAAAACCTGAAAGAGATAGTCGGTACATCAATGAGTCATTTTCTAACATTTGGTCTTTAACCTCTAATGTAGGAGTAGATTATTTCTTTGTTGGCAAGATGAATGAACCACTCGTGCCTGCATTGATTACAGGGGCTAAAATCAAATCACTTTTTAAAATAAATATTCTCTCTTCCCCCCACCTCCTTTGAATAAGCCCAAGGCTTCTGTTATTTCACAAACTGGATCTCCATAATCGCTACGACCTGATCAGAATCAGGAGAGGAAGACAGCTTTCAAAAGACCTCTTGGCCACTCTGAGTATTTAGTGATGCCTCATGGTCTCAATAACACCTTTGCAGTATATTATTTAAGAAGATTTTCTCATTTCTTATTTACCTGGTTATAAAAACACCAAACCCCATGCTCTAAGTTTACAGTTCTCCAGTGATCGGGAGCCATCACTTCCTACCATTATTCCATTTTCTTGCATTTTTGAAGCCTTATCATGAGAGATAAATGATCAGGAACTGGAGGCCCAACGAGGTTGGAGCCCAGAAACTCAAACCTTCCTCTAATATTCTGCTATCATCATGGACCCTATCCTTATGTTGAATCTTTTGAAAATATTGCAAATAAATATTTTTACCTTTATCTCTTTGAGAGACAAAGGAGAAAGTAGTGAAACGGGAAACTCAAGCACAACACAAGAAAGGCAATGTGATAAAGGTAGAGACATATACGGCGATATATCTTAATATTTCGGCCAGGAAGTTGAATCTGACTCACCAAAGTCATGGTTTTGGTGTGGCCATTGCAGAACTTTGATGTGAGTGTCATAACAGGACTCTGTTACAGCCGATGATCCAGTTCTGAAAGCAGGAATGGACCAGAATTCCATCTTATTGACCCGGAAAAGGGAAAACTTTCACCTCATTTGAAAGATTTGAACATTTGAGTTTTCATGTAAAGTCAAAGTCTCTCATTGTTTTGTCTCTTTTAAAATCAAGCTTGCTTTGCAGGTACCAAAATAAAGTACTTTGATATTTTCCTGCTTTTATTTCTCTTTCCTTAAAATGCAGACACAAATTGCTTAATCAAAGAAACGATCCGGCAACGTCGGAGCAGGACACACAATCCCCCGCCACAGGATGGTGAAAAGGTGGTATGTTTGAAGCGCTGCCCCTCTGGGATGTTCTGCTCCTAAACTGTGTCAGTGAGCTGCAGTGATTACTTGTTAACAGGTCGCCATCGTCTGATATTCTAATTAGTGCTACGGTACATCAAAACTGGAAGGAGGTCTACCAGGTCCCGGAGGACAGAAAGCCTGTCCAACAGCGCCTGTGTCTGCGTGTGATTACACCTCCTAACACTGAAACCGAAAACTTTTCAGGTCATTTCATCCCAACATTGGAGTTTCTTCCCTGCAGATGAAGTTTCCAGCAAAATGCTGTCAAATGCAAACTTTCTTCAGGTACAGTCTTAAACACATTCTGAAAAAAACGAACAAAATCTCAGTAGAACGAGCATAATAAAGAATGGCAGATGATGATCATGTCTTTTTTTTAATGCATTAACCCTACAGAACCTTTTTTTGTTGCTTCTCCGAGGTTATTGCAGAAGTCTTCTCTTGTCTTGATGTGTTAAAAGACACCTGCTGCAGAGCTGCAGGCTGTACAGCACAGAACGAAGCAACCACAGTACACTTCAAAAAAAAAAAAAACTTTGAAAGTATATGCATCGGGTTAAACGTAAAAGTAAAGTAAGGCACATGGTTAAACATGAGTAACTTACAAACATAAATATAGGTAGTAGTTAAATGAACAGCGCAAACGGAGATATATGAATGAAATAAAAATAAAATAATAAGTGAAGATAAAGGAGTATAATATATATATTTAAAAGAAATACAAAAAAGGGTTTTCTGCATAATTATGGTTATGGCCAGTTTCAACTTATTAACAAATATGTCTTTTTGAAACCTCAGGCAATAAGTTATTTATTCCTCATGATAGATTTTCCAGACCTTTTTAATCCACATTTTGTACGTTGGCGGGTCAGCCTTCAGCCATTTAACTGTGATGCATTTAAGTGCCGCAATAGTTAATATTTGTAGAAGTTAATTTTCTTCCACTACCAGTAATATCTTTTGGTAATAATCCAGGCAGTACCATCTCAGGGTCTTTGAAGGTTTTCTGAAATACTAATGTATATATTTTATTTTTTATTCAAAAAGTCAATGTATAACATGGATGCATAAAACCCTAATTTTATTTCAGTGTTAAATTCTGTTTAAAGTAACCGATTATAATTATAAATGTCTCCGGACGTTTACTGGTTGTTGATTTTCTTTATTCGGACCCCGCTGATTTTTAATTGGTTCCCCCTGATCTAGAGGCTTAGGACACTTTTGCAGAAGTTTTAGTTATTTAGGTCGTGGCAGCATGAGTTTATGATATTCTAATTGTTAAGATATTGAATTAGAATGCAAAACTGATGTAAAAATAAATAAAAAATAATTAAAATAAGTTCAATTACCCTCAATTTCAGCATCTAATAATCTGTCAATGGAAAAAGCATTTCTGTTCTTAAACTAAGATAATTAGATGTAATTAAAAAAGTACCAGAGGGTTTGTTTTTCATAATTTGAAATATAAAGCATCTTGTTCCATTAGCAAATTGTTTCACTTGTCTAAACAAATCAAGGCAAATACATCTCTTTCAAGAAAATCTGACTTTAATTTCAGAATTCTTCACTATAGGAGTTTTCATGATCCATAAGCCAGTCTTAGAGGATCTAATATGTTTCTCAACAGTTATTAAAACAACATTAAAGGAGGGACAATTTACAAAATAAAAAGACTGCATTCAGTCATTTTTTATTTTAACTAAAAGTCCATTGTTAAACTACTTCACAGCCAACAAAGCCTTCCTGTAAAAGCTGTTTATTTCCTTATTGTTAATGCTATCATGTTGGTTAAATTCCCTGTAAAGTCAGTTTTATTGTTAAATCTTTGAAGGACATAGGATAGATAAACCTCCAAGCTTCACTCTGATGTTTTCTGACAGAACCATGAAGAAAATGTGTTACTTTAAAATGCTTTTTATTCTTAAATTACCTAGAATTTTTCACCGCAGCGATTACTATTGTGTCTTCTGGCTGTTGCTATGATTATATCACACCTATAATGGATCCAGAGAAATTCCTCAGTTCTTTATCTTTTCCAAACCGAATATTTTCATCTCCTCATAAGAAGTTCACACAGGCAGTAGTCTTCTGGGATTACAATATGGGTTTGCACATCGGTATCTGTATTTTCAGGTTTCTCTTCTTTAATATACATCAGAAACTCTTAGAGAGATCAAATATTCCCCATTTTAGATGGATAATTTCTCCCCCAACCTCTGACCTCAGGTGTGTCAGCTGCAAATGTTCTTGGTGATTAAAAAACCTAATCTTCTGCCTTAGCTCATGAAAACAGACCTGGTGTCATTTTGTTTAAACGAAATGAGTTTAGTTATTTCTTTTTTCTGTGCCTCTGATTCAAAACAGCAACAAAATAATTCAGTTCAGTACCCAACCTGATCTTCATCATCAATGAAATTATAAGGAAAAGATGGATAAGGAATCTGTCCAATCACGTTCCGCACAACTACAGGGAGGAGTCACCGGATGAAGACAGTCACAGAAAAAACGTTGCAGAATAAGTTCAACGCTCAAATGAGAAAGTAAATTAGAGGAAGAGGAGGGAGAGAAGGTCTGGAGAGGCAGAGGACGAATAATCGACGAAAGCAAAAAAAGTGGGATTAAAGATTTGAAGAAAGCTGTTCCTCTTTAATCAGCTGGAAGAAAAGGGTAAGTTTTTATAATTTAATTTCTTTGAAATATTCAAAGAAATTCAAACATTTCTTTAAAAAAAAGCTAGAGTCAAACTATTTATTTTAAAAATATCAGGTAATCCTTGTTTCTACTCTTTGTTTTTGGTCTATTATTTATAGGTTGCACTATTTTTTTTTTACTGAATCACTGAAATAGTTTACTAACTTATTTAAATAAGACCTAAAAATAGGTTTAAACTCTCTATATAATCTATATATAGAGATTATTATATAATATAATGTAATTTCTATATAATCAATCTAATTTCTATATAAAGTCTGGTTTTGTGTTTTTCTCTTATGGATAAAGTCGCTCTGCAATAACAGACTTAAAAAATGAGTACAATTTTCTTGCAGAATTTGAGCTGGTCAATAACATGACCTGCCTGCCAGTGGAATTAGTATTTATACTAAGCTAAGATAATTGGATATTATGCACTTAGAATACGATAAAGGAGTTTTTAAAATATATTTTCGATTCACATATTGCTTTACTCAGCCGCTCCAGCCATGGTAAAAATAAACTAAAAAAAACAACTAATAACCACAAACAGACAAATTGCAGTTATTAAACTTTGTTAACAATTATTTTCTATCTTTATTTACTTTTAGTGATCCTACTTTTTGTGCAAAATCCAGATCAGCTCACGTAGGTTTTTTGACACCTAACAAATTAGGATGCATTTCAATAATCTAAGTTTTATGACACGACATATTTAACAGTTAAATGATTAAGTTGACCCTCAGAAGGCTGATTAGATGTATTTGTTTTGCAGGACAAAAGTATAAGGATGACTCCAAATGCTGAGGAGGTGATTTTCATTTTTTCAATATAAATATTTAGTCAGTTCATCCATGCAATTCTTATTAATAATTTCATTTTTATTGTGCCATGTGTCCCAGTCCATCAGGTGTGGTGCGTCCTCCTGCAGCTGTGCATCATTTAAACCCGGAAAGGTCCAGCTCCGGTTCTGTGATCTCTGCGGACACAGCTGGGTAGAACATGGTAAAAGAAACACAAACATACACAATAAATCTTTTTAATTCACCCTCATAGTTTATAATGTCAGAAACTCACAATTTTTACTACATTTTAGACCCGTTTGGTGGAATTCAATGATAGAACTGCTGAAAAAAAACAAAAACACGCACCTGTAAGCAGAATCTGTTGACTCACTGTCAGCCTTACTGCCACTATAGGGCAGGAGACCAAAAAAATCCTGACAATGACAATTTATCTTCCTCTGGAGGCTCAAAGGGAGCACGATATTGATAAAGAATAAGGTTGTTTATGAAGGCAGCTTAGATAACATTTATCAAAAACCCCATTGTACCAACATAATGGACTTAAATCCTGCAGCTCTCTGCTGTAGAAGCTACATGTATTTTATATAAAGTATTAAGGAAAGGATTATTTCATTTATTTCTTTTGTTGTTGGAGATGGGGCATCGAACAGCTAATGAACGAGTCGGTGAGCAGCAATAAAGGCCACATTTTGGTATTTCCTAAAGCCTTGAGCAAATCAGTAGAGTGGGCTAAGTGGCCTCTAAGAGAAACTTTAGATACTTTTGTTTTAATTGTTTTATTTAGCTGAATATCACACACAAAACAGAACTAATGCTGTCTTGCAAGCTTTTACAGAACCATCTCTGCATCATAGAGGATTGAAATCTGATTGGAGTTTGTGATTTCCATAGCACTTTTTTCGTTCTGTTTCCTTATTTTACAATCAGGCGTTTATTTAAGTGGCAGAGAAAGGCTCTCATCAGCCACAGAAACACCCTATGAGGATGCAGACTGCAGCTGGGCGCATGCATTAAGGTGACATGGAGTCAGGTGTTGCTGTCATTGTGTCAGCAGGAGCATCTGGATGAGGCATCTGCCCTCATACCGTCGTAGATCTAGTTTTCGTCACGTTCGCCTGTGGTGTTAGCACCAACAGCTGTTGCAGTTGTTTAGACTTCTGCTGGAACCTGCTGGAACCCAAATCATCTCTGACTGATTCCCTTTGCTTTGGTTTAAATTCTCTTCTTCAGCTTTGGAGAAGTTCCAGGCCCCTCCAGCCTCCAGCTCTTGCCCAGTGGAAGTGGCCCTTCCCGGGCTGGTGTTTGACCTGAGCTCCATGGTGCTGTTCGGAGCTCAGGCAATTCCTGTTCAGCTGAAGATCTTACTGGACCGCCTCTACAGCGTCCTGTCCCCAGAACAGGTGAAAAACAGCTGCTCTGGCTCACGCTAACCGGCTTTCCTGAACATTCTTTCATTGTATTTCTTTTGCCTTCCAGGTGGGTCAGATCCTGAACAGTCTGGGCTGGAGTTTGGCCGATTATGTCCGGGGGTACATGCTGCAGGTACTTTCAAATACAACCTGAGATCATACTTAATGTGTCCCACATCACACAGCACAAGAATGTGTTCATTTCCCATTGCATTAAAGCCCAGAGGGTCTTAGGAGCAAATTCCGCTTAAAATTACATATGTGAATTAAAGCACGTTCAGCTCCCAAACTACAAATTGGAAATAAATCTGAAATGTCATGCTGATTTACATTATTGGAGACCCTCTGCATAAGACAAAGCCTTTGCTCCTAAGATGTAGCCATAATTTCATTGATATTTACCATTGAACACACAATAATATCACCAAACTGAACAGAAAATTAGAATAACAGAGCAAGCCTATGTAAGGCATGCCGGTTACATCACCTGAAACGGGCGCAGAACCCCTCCTTGGAAAGGTCCGAGCCTCTAGTTTCCAATTAGGGGTGGGGCTAAAAATGAATACCTGCTGTTGCATTACTCCCGCAGAATCAGACATGCCAGGGGGAATTCCAAATCTCATTTTATCTCTTCACACAGCTATGGAAAAAAAAGGATTTGTGAAAAAACAATTTTGAAACATGTTTTAGAAATTTTAAAGCCCCATTTTGAAAGTTGTGTGGATGAAACACCATGTGACTGGTTATGGCCATTTCTATAAATAGATAAACATGAGCAGGTGTCAGATGGGCCTGGTACTGGGCCCGCAGGGCTCAAGGGGTTAATAGTTAAACCATAGTAGTTTAAAATTCCAAGATCCTGAGTTAATGGATCTACTTTAATTTACATAGAAACAAATTTATGGGTCATGAACCACAATAGGCACAGAGGAGAAGTTTGTCCTATGTGACTCTGTTTCCATGTAATGAACTGGTTACCTGGCCAGTTACCCTTCAAGGAAGATTAACCTACAAGGAGTGGGCACACTCACATCTCTTCCCATCCCACACTGTGAAACCGAATAAGTTAGCAGTACTCAAAAAAAACGTAAGGCAATCAGTTGCCATAATTGTTTTGAGTTCTAAAACTCAAACATTTGAGTATGACAAAGCTTATATGTTTTGATTTTATTTTAAATGTACATTTAAATCATAATTAAATTAAATTTACCAAATAAGCCAACTCAAAATTCTTCAGTTTCTGCTACACAGAATGTTTATTCATATTTCTCATTGAAATAACTCAAGCAAACGTAATCAATTCAAGTATGGAGACACAGGATTTTATGTTAAATTGACTTAACATTTATTAGTTTTTTCTTTCAATCTTCACATTAAACATGACTAAAAAAAAATAGACTTGTTACAACTCAAAATCATTTCTCTCCAAACTTAAAATATTTGTGGCCGATTGTCGTAAAAATAATAAGTACTCTTAACTTAATAGTAAAAAAATAAAAATCAATAAATAAATTACAATTATTAAAATACAAGCTAAATTAACTTTCAGACAATAACTTCAAATGTCTACCGCACTTTTTTTTTGCTTCTGTAAAATAAAAAAAATAAAAATATAAATATATTTATGTGTGTGTAGGCCTACTTATTCATAGTGTGTGTGTGTGTGGCCATGTCTTTAATACCTGGTGGGGACAATTTCCTAGGAATATGCTACATTTTGGGGACTCATAGGTACTTGTGGGGACCAACAACTGGTCCCCATAAGGAAAGTTTCTCTTCTTGGGGTGGGGGTTAGGTTTAGGACTAAGGTGTGAATTGAGTTTAGGTTAGGTTTAGGGATAGGTATGTGTCGGTAATGGTTAGGGTTAGGGCAAGGGTCACGGTTAGGCCATATAAATCAGTGGGAAATGAACGGAAGTCAATGGAAGGTCCCCACAAGTATATTGTGACACAACTTGTGTGTGTGTGTGTGTGTGTGTGTGTGTGTGTGTGTGTGTGTGTGTGTGTGTGTGTGTGTGTGTGTGTGTGTGTGTGTGTGTGTGTGTGTAAGCACGCGTGAGAGAGAATTTATACATTCACAAATTTAAATCGGAATTTCATTTATTTATTCAGTTCTTTAAAAACAAAAAAAAACAAAAACAAGCCATAAAATAATGTTTAATCCACCTAATTTTAAGTAACTCTGAGGTAATTATCTTAAGTACCAGTTATTTAACCTGCAAAAAGTTAATGTTAATCACAAAATGCAAGTATAGGTAACTTAAAAAGAGGGAGCAAACTATTGGAACTCAACATTTTAAGTAAGTAGAACTTCTAAGAGAATTTTAGGTTCACTCTAGTCATTTTTATTAATTATTTTTAAGCATTCGGGTTTACAGTGCAGATGTATCATATATACAAAATCACTGTATCACAAATGTGCCATTATACTTGACCTTTAATAATAAGGCTAAATGTAGATAACTGGTTCTTTACTTGGAATAACACCTGCACATGTAAAGGTGCTTTCTCATGGCCCATGTGATGTGCTGTCAAATTCCAGGATTGACCCTGGTATAGTAAGAAATCCAGACAAGAAGTTTAAGATACATTTAGGTCTTAATGCTGATCTTCCTCATCAAATTAATTTAAATTCTAGCCACGATGCAGTTAACCACAGGTGCTAGGCTTCAGGTACTTAGAGATTCACTTCCAAACAGAAACCCCACATTCATATCTTCAGGTAACACAGAGTACATGTCAGACTTAATAATATTACTTTAGCGATAGTTTCAAGGTGTTTGCTTTATTGTATATCTCGTACCATGTCTTTTGGTTGTGCTGTTCTTTTTTTTCATCTCGTTACAGGTGATGAAGCAGACTGAAAATGTTTTGTCATTGTCTCCTTCCTATCTCCTCTTTCTTTCATCTTTTGTCCTTTTTTTTCTTCTTCTTTTTCCTTCTTCTTCTTCTGTTTTTCTGCTCTACTTACATTGCAGTGTCCATATGAACTGTAAAACTCCCTGCATAATTATAATAAAGCAATTTATATACATGAAACAAGTGGAGCAGTATGGCAATTGCCATACCGCTACACTTGTGAAAGTAAAATCTGTTGGGCTCCTTTTGGCATCAAGACAATTATTCTTATTGCGACCTTGCCAGACAGGACACTGTAAAAAAAAAAAAATAAAAAATAAATAAATAAATAAATAAATTCTAGCCACGAAAAGAATAAAAAGCAGTTCATGCAAATGCTACTACTACAACCACTACTACTAATGGTACTGGCCTGTTAGTACTGCCCTCTAAAAAAAGGGTGCCCCATTTGAAATTAATTGCTTCAAGTTGAGAACAAGTAACTGAATCAAGTTGATCTAACTAAGTTTATAAGTTTAAATTTTAATTCATTTACTTGCTATCAATTAAAATAATTAAATTGGAGCTGCATTTTCTTTTTAGAGTGTACTACTTCTACTTCTAGAAATATTTACAAAAAGTACTCCTGTTGCTATCTGTAATTATAACTTTATTATCATTATTGTTGTTGTATTATTATGCACAAAATACAGTACTAAGAAAACATAATTCAATATCAACAGACTGATATCCAAGGACTTGTCAACATGTAGTTGACTTTGGCTTGTTATTATCCGTCTCTTTGATCTGTCATCAAATTTCCTAGGATGTTGGCTACAGTCCCATGGATTTTAAATTTCTGAATAATATTTGCAACCCTTATCATAGGAAAATGCTCCCTGGAGATGGTGTTTCAACATATAACATGCTTGTCAATATTTACCTTTCTAACCTCATGAAAGGACTTTTTCCTCTGGTCCATGTTGAGTGTGATACACACCATGTCACCAAACACTACAAGGACTAGCTGTATTTAACAGGTAGTTGTTGCATTCGTGAGTAGTATTAACAGCTCCTTTCAGTACGAAGTTGTTTTTAACATTTCCTAGTTGGTTTTATTTTATTTTAAAGATTTAGAAATGTTCATGTTAAAGTAAAAAGTGCCTTTTCCTCTAGACTCCCAGTGGGAAAGTGTTGGACCGCTGGTGCATGGCCACTCCTAAAGAAGAGCTGCTTGCTCTTGGACAGTTCCTTCGCTTTGGAGAGACTCGCCCTATTGTGGAGTTAATGATGCTTCAGTACCCAGAAGGTGAAAAACTCCTCTCCTATCAGGAGTCAAAAACCCCAGTTAAAAATTTCCAGTCAGATATTCTACCGAATAAAGTCTCATCAGTGTTAAAAAGTTGTTCACTGGTCAAAGGAAAAGATACTTCAGAGTGCCATGGAGATGTCCAAGCAGGACAGTCATTGCTCTTACCTTTCCATTTTCCACAGTCAACTATCTACTGTTCAACCAAGGTAATGCAGTTCATGTATTTAGAAGTACGGTAATTACAGTGCCGATATTCTAAAATTCAACTGAACCTCTTTCTGCAGGACACACATACTACGTCTGACTTACAAAACATCCTGCAAGATTTTGGTGGGAATAAAATGCTTCAGAAACAGGACTGTAAAAGTTGTGGATGTGAGGAAGATGACGAGTTGGTCCTGAAGAGTACCGCACAGGAATCGGTTTTATCGACAAAAACAGGCAGAGACAAGTCAAACCCATCCTTGTGGCACGAGAACCCTATCTTCCATCACAATGAGGTTTTCCTTCACGAACGACTGATCCAGCAGGAGAAAACGGCTTCCCTTCCTTCACCTTTCAATTTTTCATTTTTACCTTCTTCTTTACTATATCCCCCACACCACCCTTGCTCTTCAACACACCTACATCATCCTCAGAAATCCCAAACTCTTCCCTCTTTCTCAACTTCTTTCCTTAGACCGCTTCATTATTCCTCCTTTTCTCCCCCTCTCCTTCAGTTTAAATCGCAAAGTTCTTCACTCCATCCTCTCCCATCTTCCTTTGACACTTTTCCTTCCCTGCCCCCTGCTGGAGGTCGGAAGGGAAGGGTCAGCTGTGGTGTCTGTGGGAAAAGCTTCTATGACAAAGGTGAGAAAATCCCTTGATTATATTCAGACAAAGATAAAGGCTCCACTTCAGAAAGCTTTTTTAAACCTTTAATCAGGGAAACTGAGATTTCTGCTTCAAAAAGAGAGTTTCCTCAACCTCTGTTTCTGTTGCCGTAGTAATATTCTCCCCATAGATCACCTGGTCAGGAGCAGGTTTTTTTCAGTAAACCCAGAGTGCCCTCTGTTTCCACTCTCCCTAGAGCCAGTCACTTATTTTATGTCCTGATTTAGTCAGGTGATTTTTGTCATAGTTTTCTGCATACAATAATAAAAAAATCATTCACTAGGACTGTTACACACATACATTTTTAAAAACAAACATTGCATGCACTGGAAAAAAAAAATCAAGATCTAAATAAGTCATTTTTAAAATAAGTGCATTTGTTCTTGGATTGAGCAGGTAAAACAGATTTTGCCAGTCAAACAAGACAATTTACACTTAAAATATGAAAACACAATTGCATTATCTTATTTTAAGTGCATATTATCTAATTATCTCATTTTAAGAGTTAAAAATACTAATTCCATTGGCAAACTCATTAACTCATTAACTTACTCAAATTAAAGGTAAACACACCATTGTCTTTCTGCGTGGAGTTTGCATGTTCTCCCTGAACATGCGTGAGTTCTTTCTGGGTACTCCGGCTTCCTCCGACAGTCCAAAAACATGACTGTTAGGTTAATTGGCTTCTCTAAATTCTCCTTAGGTGAGTGTGTGCGTGAATGGTTGTTCTCTTTTTTACCCTGTGATAGACTGGTGACCTGTCCAGGGTGTATCTCACCAATAGACAGCTGGAGATAGGCACCAGAAACCCTCACAACCCCAGCAGGGATAAAACGTGACGGAAAAATAGACTAGTAAAGAGCAGTTCCATTTTTCGTCGGATTGGTGAGGTATTTCTATGGCACACAAATCTTTGCCCATAGACTCTTGTTAAATTTGTACATGCGCAGTAACTCCTCTGCAATACAGAAGTATAGGAGGGCTTGGGGCGCAGCTAAGCTGCGACCTGAGGTGACAGGAAGTGTATTTGCTCTCCACCTCCCACCACAACAAATACGTTTTGTGGGTGATTGACAGGTTGTGTCGTGGGAGCAAAGAGACGAATTGGAGAGAGAAAAACGGCGCAAGATAAGTCCTTTTCCAGGACCTGGTTTAGCAAGAAGGCGTGGTTAACTGCATGTAGTGAGGCTAACGCTCTATTTAGCTTTCCCTGCCTCCTTTTTCTGATGTCAGGATCTGACCCAGCATGGATAAAGACAGGTAGGAGTGATTTAAAGCACTTTTCGGAAAAGGCAAAGAAGACTGAACAATCTGGGATTCACATGGAAAATTATATAATATAGTGTACTTTTTCTAGATGTTTGTTCATTTGCTTAGTTGATCTTAAAAAAAGTCATTCTCAGAAAATCTATAGTTTTTATATGTTAAAAAATATAAAGCTGATTAATACATCCTCCATTAGTAAACTGGTACGTTAATATTGGACCATGCAAAACCCATTTGCCTTCACAAAGCTTTAGAAGGGCAAGATTTTTGTACAAAATGTGAACATGTACAGGTGCTGGTCATAAAATTAGAATATCATGAAAAAGTAGATTGATTTCAGTAATTCCATTTAAAAAGTGAAACTTGTATATTATATTCATACATTACATACAAACTCATATATTTCAGATGTTTATTTTGTTTAATTTTGATGATTACAAATGACAACAAATGAAAATCTCAAATTCATCATATCAGAAAATTAGAATATTGTGAAAAGGTTCCAAATTGATGGCCCCTGGTGCCACACTCTAATCAGCTAATTAACTCAAACCACCTGCAAAAGCCTTTAAATGGTCTTTCAGTCTAGTTCTATAGGCTACACAATCATGGGGAAGACTGCTGACTTGACAGTTGTCCAAAAGACGACCATCGACACCTTGCACAAGGAGGGCAAGACACAAAAGGTCATCGCTAAAGAGGCTGGCTGTTCACAGAGCTCAGTGTCCAAGCACATTAATAGAGAGGCGAAGGGAAGGAAAAGATGTGGTCGAAAAAAGTGTACAAGCAAGAGAGATAACCGCACCCTGGAGAGGATTGTGAAACAAAACCCATTCAAAAATGTGGGGGAGATTCACAAAGAGTGGACTGCAGCTGGAGTGAGTGCTTCAAGAACCACCACACACAGACGTATGAAAGACATGGGTTTCTGCTGTCGCATTCCTTGTGTCAAGCCACTCTTGAACCACAGACAGCGTCAGAAGCGTCTTGCCTGGGCTAAAGAGAAACAGGACTGGACTGCTGGTGAGTGGTCCAAAGTCATGTTCTCTGATGAAAGTAAATTTTGCATTTCCTTTGGAAATCAAGGTCCCAGAGTCTGGAGGAAAAGAAGAGAGGCACTTCATCCACGTTGCTTGAAGTCCAGTGTAAAGTTTCCACAGTCAGTGATGGTTTGGGGTGCCATGTCATCTGCTGGTGTTGGTCCATTGTGTTTTCTGAGGTCCAGGGTCAACGCAGCCACATACCAGGAAGTTTTAGAGCACTTCATGCTTCCTGCAGCTGACCAACTTTTTGGAGATGCAGATTTCATTTTCCAACAGGACTTGGCACCTGCACACAGTGCCAAAGCTACCAGTACCTGGTTGAAGGACCATGGTATCCCTGTTCTTAATTGGCCAGCAAACTCTCCTGACCTTAACCCCATAGAAAATCTATGGGGTATTGTGAAGAAGAAGATGTAATACACCAGACCCAACAATTCAGAAGAGCTAAAAGCCACTATTAGAGCAACCTGGGCTATCATAACACCTGAGCAGTGCCACAGACTGATCGACTCCATGCCACGCCGCATTGCTGCAGTAATACAGGCCAAAGGAGGCCCAACTAAATACTGAGTGCTGTACATGCTCATACTTTTCATGTTCATACTTTTCAGTTGGCCAACATTTCTATAAATCCTTTGTTTTTATTGGTCTTCAGTAATATTCTAATTTTCTGATATGATGAATTTGAGATTTTCATTTGTTGTCATTTGTAATCATCAAAATTAAACAAAATAAACATCTGAAATATATGAGTTTGTATGTAATGTATGAATATAATATACAAGTTTCACTTTTTAAATGGAATTACTGAAATCAATCTACTTTTTCATGATATTCTAATTTTATGACCAGCACCTGTACATGACATTATCTTTTGTTTTTATAAAGTGTTTTATGTTTTTTATTGTTGTTATTTTATTGCATTTGTATAAATATACTGGTGTGATAACTTAGTATACATTTGATGGGTTTTTGGTATAGGTCTATTTTGAATTTATAGCCTCCCCTGGAGAAAACTCCACCAGCCACGACTGGTATTCACACACAGCAGGAGGGATTTTGGCCCACTCTTCCACACAGATCTTCTCTAGATCAGTCAGGGCTGTCTGGGTTCTGGCCTTTCTGGGCTGTAACTGAGAAGCATTAAGTTTGACCTCCCTCCAAAGATTCTTTATTGGATTTAGGTCTAGAGATTTGCTAGGCCATGACTCAGAACAGAGGACCCAGTATTCAGGCCAGACAGACAGTGGGATAACTGCAAAACCATTTATTAAAAAACTGGTGGAATGGATCTGAAGTGGCTGTGGCCTGGGCATCTAAGGCAGGAACCTCTACAGGAGAATAAAGGTTTGTGACCACGATAATCTGAATGGTATGAACGCATGAGTCACTAACCTGGGCTTACAGTTCAGTCGAGGATGATTCTAGCCGGATGGCTGACAAGTCGCAGAGATTATGTCTCTCACAGTGGACATGCACCTTGATGAGAATTTCAGCAAACCCCTCCAAAATTTCTAAGTGGGAGAACTTGCAAAATAGCAGGATGTTCGAATACTAATTTCCTCACTGTAACTCAAGCAGCAATCTTCTCCTTTGCAGCTGCAGTGCTGTTTCTCTGTCTTTTAAACACTTTCACCATTTATTTCTTTCATTTCTGTTGTTCCAGTGGCGTGAAATTGGCACTTACTGTTGCCTGTCGTCATGGTGACTTGTCTAATTGGGGCTCCACTGATAATGGCTTTCATAAAATTGAAAACCTAGAGTTTCCAGCATTAGGCTAGATCAATTTAGATTTGAGGTTGTTAAACCTGCCTAATGAGATGGACCCAAGATCTCATAATGTACAACATGTGTTGCCGGACATCCCAAGTTCCAAAAACTCATTTCAGGGAGATGCTTTGCCCCACAACCATATATCATGCTTTTCAGTGCCCCAATGAAAACATGCTGCCCCCCTCCTGGACCTGTTGCATTTGGTCTAGATCCGCCACCAGTGTTGGGCACGTTACTTTGAAAAAGTAATTAGTTATAGTTACTAGTTACTTCTCCCAAAAAGTAACTCAGTTACTAACTCAGTTACTAACTGAGTTACTCCACAATAAAAGTAATTAGTTACTAGTAAAAGTAACTATTGCGTTACTTTAGCTTTTCTCGCCCCCGTAACCCTCACCACCCCCCCCCCCTTCTCGCCGTCTGTTTCAAAGCCAGCTGAATAGAGCGGACGACAAAGACAAGAACCTGCAGAGAGTTTTGCATTTATTACAACTCAATGTAAATGACATCAGTGGGGAACGCTATCTGACGGCCCTATAAAACCCTGTCAGATAGCGTTCCCCTGCTTCACATGGGGGGAATGGTATCTGATGCGATCATCAGGCTGCATTACCTCTACTCATGGGTGTGAAGTTTTTTAACAGGGCATTCAGATCTGGTGAGTTTATGAAATTTACAACTGGGGATGTCTAATTCTGAAATTGTGTGTGTTTGGGTTGATATAGATACTGCAACATCTATCTATCTATCTGTCTGTTCGTCCGTCCCAATTTCTCCCTTTCTCCATATAGGCTAACATTTGATCGTTCACGCTCTCCATAGTTCCCTTGTGGCGCGAGCACAGGGCGGCTGTTACGCACCTTTAGTGAGCATGCGCGTTTCCCGTATCTTGCGCGGTGACTCGTGCCGCCTGCGCTGTGCAGAGATGCAGGGGAAACCGTATCTGATGGGGAAACGCAGCTCGACTTAACACCGGTGTTTCCATCTGGAAAACGCTGTTTTGCTGCTGGAGTCCTCCTCACTCTCCATCTCTCTGTGTGTGCTGTACGTTAACACCCGCCAGCGGAAACACCCACCTACCCAACTGACAGACGGAATCTCACTATACATCAGCCATTATCATCCTCCCCTCTCTCATGACAAGGCGCGCACGAGTCCTATCATGAAAAAAAATGTAATTGTGCGATCTGAGTAACGTGCAATGGTAACTGCGTTACAGTTACGGTCAAAGTAATTAGTTAGATTACTCGTTACTAAAAAAAAGGTAACGCCGTTACTCCCATCACTGTCCACCACTGTTCCACACATTCACTAGACCTGGATATACTTTAGTATATTCTGCTGTAAAATGAGTTCTATATTTTCGTTTTATACTCAAGGATTCAACCTCTACCGTTTCACAGGATGCCCAGTTTTGAGTGGTAACTAGGTGACTGCCAGAGAGTAACCCAGAGAAACTTATCGGACTGATCCAATCAGCTCTTTGACAACCAGTCACCTGGAACGCTGGTTGAACAGAGCATCGCTTTGAACAGATACGCTGCACAGATTTCACCAGCAACCTCCTCCCCACACCCCGCGTTCTCTAGTTGTTCCTGTGCAATCAAAGTATTTTTTATCCGCACGTGATGCACAAATAATTGCCTGCCCGCTCTCACTCGCATTAAAAAAACATCACCACGCAGAGTCTAAAATCCGGGATAATTTATCCGACTCGCGGGCATCTGTGAACAACTATCTAAATCAGGGAGACTGTCATGATTTTACCAAGGTTCAGACCCAAATGCAGAAGACCAAACAGGGAGACCAGGGAAAAGGTTTAATGCTGCGTTCACACCGGGGGCAGCTGGCGCGACAGAAGCAGCGAGTTTACATGCAAAGTCAATGGTTGACGCGCGTCAAGGCGCAGCAAAAGGTCCCGCGGCGCGTTTCGAGCAGCAAGCGCAGCGCGTCTGAGCAGCTGAAGCAGCGCGTCGGGCGCGTTTTGGCATCTGACGCGTGTGACGCGCCGCAAACGCGTTGCTGCTCGAGATGGAAAAATTGAATTTTTGCTGCTCGACGCGCCGCGTCAACCAATCAGAGAAGCTGATCTGGGAGCTGGCTGGGAGAGAGACACAGCGCTGATGACACAGACCGCTCTGATTACTCCTCTTAAACAGTTTATTAACGCATAATTAACTTAAAATATATACATCTGCCGGCAGAATATGTTCGCTTTTATTATTGTGGTGCCTGCAGATCGGATTATTTAGATGAAAAACACCTACCAGCCGCCGCGGTAAACCGCGAGGAGGCGACCCGCCAGAGGCTGCTGATGAATGGATTCCTTCTGTCGGCGCACCGCCGGTATGTGGGGGTCTGAGCGGCTCCGACAGAAATAATATTGGGAGGCAGGATCGTAATCTGGATGAACTGACTGCACTGATGAAGTTTTCAGGTGTATTTTCTCACTTAAAAACATATTAAAACTACTTTATTCCCACTGATCACAGCAAATATAGCTGCAAGGCAGAGAAAGGATAGTGAAGCTCCGCCCAACGCGCGTCAGAGCCACTTTTGGACCGCGCAGGCAGAGCAGCAAAGCTGCTTCAGCCGCGCGTCAGAACTAACTGGTACAAGCAGCAAAAATGAAGCAGCAGACGCGATTTTGCTGCTTTTGCTGCCCCCGGTGTGAACGCAGCATAACAGGTTTAATTGAAGAGATAATTAAGAGAGAAGTGTTGCTCTGAACACTGCTCAACCGGAACTGAAAAGTGAGGGGAAGACACAGCGGTTAGTTCAGGCTCAGTGGGAAATTTGACTTGTGAACTTGGAGAAGAGGATTTGGTTGCTGACTCACGTTTCCAGAGAAGTTGTTGAATCTTTGACTCCAGTCTGAATGCTGTAGTTCCAGTGTTTGTCTGATTCGTTGGAGGGCGGAACAGGGTTTACCCAGAATGCGGTTGTTTGTAGGTGAACGGAGAAGCTGACTGCCACTCAGATTTCCTGCGGTACTTGAACAGGTCGTAGTGGTGATAAATCCCTTTCTCAGTGCGAAGCTCAAACGATCTCTTGGGGAAAGTGGATCCAAACCTCCTGTTTGAACCCCAGCTCAGTTTGAAGCTCAGTTGATCCTTCCAAGGAGAGAAGGTCAGAAAAATCCAGTTTGCAGCATGACTTCCTGCCGAGAAGCATAGACAAAAAACAAAGTTAAAACTCAGGTGACTAAAACTCAGTTTGACTCAGCAAAACTCAGCTTGGCTAGAGTACCAAAAACTGGCAAAACAAAAACTCAGGTTAGACTCTGCTAGACTAAGCATGGCTAGAGTACCCAAAACTGGCAAACACTCTGGCGTCGAGGTAGTGGCAGTCAGCAGCTTAAGAACACTCCGTTAATGTGGAAACCATCAGCAGGTGTGTGAGGAGGCGGACCAGAGCTAGGCGCCTCCTGGTAGAGGAAGGAAGACAAACAGAGAAACACAAACACACAGACAGGAGTCCTGACAGAGACTCCCAGAACTTGTGGGAGACTTGGGATGTCTGGTGTTGCGCTGCACACAGGAATAATTCACTTGCAAGCCAGCGTCCAAAAACCTTTCAACAGTGAATCATAATCAAAGCTCCTTAGTTTTTGATGTAGTGGAAGGTTACTCCCTCTAGCACAGTGAATGTGATCATTTTCATCGCCATCTTTTTGGAGGCAAAAAAGTAGAACATGTCAGACTGATCCCACAGGCCTTATGGGATTGTAGAAAGTGACCAGACCTAGAAGTAAGGCATAGGACCTTAGATTTTATTTTTATAGTGTCCTGAAAATCATACGGTACAGGACACCATCAGAGTATTGCACTGGTATTTTGCCAACAGTCCATACACGCAACAAATACTCCTATGAGCAGCTTTACTTCATACAAATGCTCGTTAACTCTTCCTCAGGCGCAAGTTTAACGCCAATACACAAATACCACTGGGCTCCAATATGTCACACACAAGGGCTTGTTCGTTCTCTGTGCGCGTGTTTTTTTTATTTCCACATGCGCGCAGCCTCCCTCTTCCTTGCCTGTCGACCTGTTTCTGTGCGCTCATGTCAACTTCTGTCACTTTGAAGGCGTTACCCACCGGACAGAGCAACCTTCCTGTGATTGGCTACTTTTCAAGAAATCCTGCTTATTGAGGCTCTACTCTTCTTCCTACTAGCAAAGCAACTTCAGGCTAACTGCTTCTCTTCAAAAGTTGGAAAATAAGTTGGTAAGCAATGTTATTAGATATAGAGTAGTAGCCATTTAAAAAATTCCCCACTTTCCTTGATGGGCCTTAGGCTTATCCTTGGCTGGTCCCCTTCACAGGGCCGGTCTTACCATTAGACAAACATAGGCAGCTGCCTAGGGCCCCGAGTTCCTGGAGGGCCCCATAAAACTCCTTTTACATGTATGCTTAACACAGCTATTCCTTATTTGTGCACATTAAATATGTTTTTGAGCAAATTCCTTTCACTATAGTGCCATTAGAATGCTTATTATATTAAGTGTGTCTTGGGGGGCCCCCCTTCGGTGTCCACAACATTGGATCAGTCCATTTGCTGCGCATGTGCAGAAAGGTCCAGACACACGGAAGAAAGGTGCAAAGATACGAAACGAGCAGAGAAGAGAAGAGAAGAGAAGAGAGGAAAAGAAAGAAAGAAGAAGGAAAGCTTTGAATTTCGTTTGTATTTGCTAGTCCAGCATCATCCACTCAGCAAGTAAGCAGTGTGCTTCTGGAAGATGAACCAGCACTCTGGCCAAAGAAGCAGTCTGATCGAGCACGCTGCTCGATAGTTAGGAGATGACCACCCCAGGTGAAGGTCAGGATCTTTCCAAAAATTGGAGATGGGTGCAGATCTACTTCCAGCTATTATTTCAATCAAATGATCTACAGTGAAAAGAAGGCTGGTTCGACTGTGTAACTTTTACCGTTGTCTTTTTGGAAACACAGGAAGGAGCAATTAGCTAAGTGAGCTTATTGCTTGGAAAAAAATCTTTCATTCCTTTTGAGACAGCATCAAAAGTCAGCTGAGAACAAAACATAGAGAGGAAAACAACAAGAAAATGCACAAGAAGAGAGGGATAAAACCTAGAACACATTATGTATGTGTATTCTATTAAAATTGTATCTATATAATGGGTTTGTTTTATTTATTGTCTTTTCAATTCGGAGGGCCCCATGCCTGTCTTTGCCTAGGACCCCAAATTTACTAAATCTGCCCCTGCCCCTACCATTAAACATCAATCTCTGTACTAAAATATTCTGTTTGATTTGTGGACATTTATATCTATAGAGAAGTGAAAGGATTGAGTCAGAGTAAAAAAAATGCAGTCCAGGAGAAGGCCAGTGGATTGAAGTTGGAAGTTGCCAAAAAAAAATGCTAAAACAATGCTGTTTTTTCTTTTGCTTGTACTTTTCAAATTTGTAATATAAATATTGATAATAATAAGACACAAGATAATAAATTATTCTTATTTTGATTCATTGTTTCATTTCCACTTTAAAGCCCGACTGAATAAAACCAATCTTCTACATACCCTCTCTAATAAACTAGAACTACTTCATTTTCTTTCTCCTCCAGGAGTTTTTTTTTGTAGATCTAATGATTGAAACATCAGTGACATCCTGTGTTTCTTCTGCTGTGTCTAACCAGGAACACTGAAGATCCACTACAATGCTGTCCACCTAAAGATTAAACATCGCTGCACTGTGATGGGCTGCACCATGGTGTTCAGTTCGCTGCGCAGCCGGAATAGACACAGTGCCAACCCAAACCCACGGTTACACACAGGTGGGAGCAGAGAGGCCAAGCTTTACCGTGACACACCATTTGGAAGGGGGAACATTCCGAACGAAACACAGCTATATGATGTAAAGCAGGAAATACAAACACTGCTGCATGGAAACAGTATGAAGAATGACATAAATGTGCACCATGAAGCCATCTCGCCCACCCCTCACGCGCCATCTTCAGGACGCTTACCTTCCTCTTGTATAAATCTGTTAACAAGTCAGCAGTGTTGGCAGCATCCTCATCCCCTTAACCCAAAGAAGAAGTCCAGGAAGTCCAGCATGCCAGTAAAAATAGAAACTGTTCAAAGCAGCAAACACAAAGAAGAGAACTGAAGGCATGCCATGTTGCTCCTGCTCAAAAATAAAAATATATATTTTCAAAACTAAAAATACAAAAGGAAAACTGTAATGTCATGGCTTTGAAAAATATTGAATTCACACTATTTTAAACAGTTCAAAAGTGTTATAGTTTGTGCTCATCTGCTGTATTTAGTTGATGTTACATTTTTAAAAACCTTTATCTTATTACATATAAAACTAATTCAAGAATAAAAAAATAAATAAAATGGATCTGAAAATGAGAGCTGAAAAATAGTCAGCTTATATTCAAAGTGAGTACATTTTTATGATTCCCTGGACAGCAGAACTCAGTTTTCTTTAAATTCGTTTTTTGGTGATTTGCCCATGCAAACAAGCATTAACAACCAAATGCACTACAGTCATAGACAGATGATAATTTTGAACACACACACACACACACACACACACACACACACACACACACACACACACACACACACACACACACACACACACACACACACACACACACACAAAAATCAAGGGAAGAATGATGCAAAAGATGCCAAAGATACCACCTGTGTCCTGATCTGCTGCTCTGGGCTTTTGGTTCTGTTCTAGTTTTCACTTTAGGTTAGTTATGATTTGATTGTGGTAATTCTGAATTTCTGTTAAAATTTGTATCATTTTTAGATTATCTCTTATTTTACTCTTCCTTGGAGTTTAATTTAGTTATCTTTTAGTTATTTAGTTATGGAACTCACACTTCTCAGCCTTGACAAATAACTGGTTCTGTAAGAGGCGAAGAATAACCGCTCTAACATGTTGCTTGTGGGACTCCAAATCCCGGGAATAAATGAAGACATCGTCTATGTAAACAAAGACAAGTGTCCCACCATGTCCCTGAGTACATCGTTTACAAGGTTTTGAAAAACCGCTGGTGCATTGGTGAGCCCGAAAGGCATCACCAGATACTTATAGTGACCGGTGGGAATGTTGAATGCGGTCTTCCATTCATCCCCCTCCCAGATACGAACCATGTGGTAAGCATTACGGAGATCTAGCTTGGTGAAAACCCTGGCCCCCTGGATCTGATAAAAAGCTGTGTTAAGTAGGGGAATGGGGTACCGATTCTTAATCGTGATGTCATTAAGCCCCCTATAATCAATGCAGGGCCTGAGGGATCCATCCTTCTTCCGGACAAAAAAGAAACCTGCCCCAGCCGGTGAGGTGGAAGGACGGATGATACCAGCCCTGAGGGACTCTGAGATGTACCTCTCCATGGCCTGGGATTTGGGGGTAGACAAAGAGTATAGTCTGCCCCTCGGGGGTGTGGAACCGGGCAGTAAATCAATCCCACAATCAAAGAGTCTGTGAGGAGCAGTGTTGGGCACGTTACTTTGAAAAAGTAATTAGTTATAGTTACTAGTTACTTCTCCCAAAAAGTAACTGAGTTACTCCACAATAAAAGTAACTAGTTACTAGTTAAAGTAACTATTGCGTTACTTTCGCGTTTCTCGCCCCCGTAACCCTCACCACCCAGCCCCCACCTTTTTGCCGTGTGTTTCTAAAGCCAGCTGAATAGAGCGGACAACAAAGACAAGAACCTGCAGAGAGTTTAGCATTTATTGCAACTCAACCTAAATGACATCAGGGGGGAACGCCATGTGAAGTTTTTTAACAGGGCATTCAGATCTGGTGAGTGTATGAAATTAATAACTGGGGATGTCTAATTCTGAAATCCTGTGTGTTTGGGTTGTTATAGATACTCTATCTATCTATCTAGATGTATACTCTGTGTGTGACATAAAATATGGATCTGCCACAAAGGCCATCAAATAATGTTTGAAATAAAAAATACAGTAGGTTATAAAGGCCATCCATCCATCCATCCATCCATCCATCCATCCATCCATCCATCCATCCATCCATCCATCCATCCATCCATTCAGATTTCTCCCTTTCATTTGATCGTTCACGCTCTCCATAGTTCCCCTGTGACGCACAGGGCGACTGTTGCGCGCCTTTAGCGAGCATGCGCGTTTCCTGTTGCTTGCGCGGTGAATCGTGCCGTCTGTGCTGTGCGGAGATGCAGAGGAAACCGTTATGTGATGGGGAAACGCAGCTCGACGTAACACCGGTATTTCCATCTGGAAAACGCTGTTTTGCTGCTGGAGTCATCCTCACTCTCCATCTCTCTGTGTGTGCTGTACGTTAACACCCGCCAGCGGAAACACCCACCTACCCAACTGACAGACGGAATCTCGCTATACATCAGCCATTCTCATCCTCCCCTCTCTCATGACAAGGCGCGCACGAGTCCTGTCATGAAAAAAGGTTAATTGTGCGACCTGAGTAACGCGCAGTAACGAGGTGTCTGCAATGGTAACTGCGTTATAGTTACAGTGAAAGTAATTAGTTAGATTACTCGTTACCAAAACAAGGTAACGGCGTTAGTAACGCCGTTACTTTCAACGCCGTTAGTCCCATCACTGGTGAGGAGGTAGGTCTGTGGCCCTACCCTTATTAAATACCTCTCTGAGATCATGATGCTCCACTGGGACTCTAGACAGATCCGGGTAACACTCAGAGTCCTCACCGTGTACAGGCGTCTCAGACCTAGCCGAACATAAGCATGACGCAGAACAGGAAGTAGACCAACCCAACACTTCCACCCTATGCCAATCAATGTGTGGGTTGTGCCTAGATACAGGTGCTGGTCATAAAATTAGAATATCATGAAAAAGTAGATTGATTTCAGTAATTCCATTTAAAAAGTGAAACTTGTATATTATATTCATACATTACATACAAACTCATATATTTCAGATGTTTATTTTGTTTAATTTTGATGATTACAAATGACAACAAATGAAAATCTCAAATTCATCATATCAGAAAATTAGAATATTACTGAAGACCAATAAAAACAAAGGATTTATAGAAATGTTGGCCAACTGAAAAGTATGAACATGAAAAGTATGAGCATGTACAGCACTCAGTATTTAGTTGGGCCTCCTTTGGCCTGTATTACTGCAGCAATGCGGCGTGGCATGGAGTCGATCAGTCTGTGGCACTGCTCAGGTGTTATGATAGCCCAGGTTGCTCTAATAGTGGCTTTTAGCTCTTCTGAATTGTTGGGTCTGGTGTATTGCATCTTCTTCTTCACAATACCCCATAGATTTTCTATGGGGTTAAGGTCAGGAGAGTTTGCTGGCCAATTAAGAACAGGGATACCATGGTCCTTCAACCAGGTACTGGTAGCTTTGGCACTGTGTGCAGGTGCCAAGTCCTGTTGGAAAATGAAATCTGCATCTCCAAAAAGTTGGTCAGCTGCAGGAAGCATGAAGTGCTCTAAAACTTCCTGGTATGTGGCTGCGTTGACCCTGGACCTCAGAAAACACAATGGACCAACACCAGCAGATGACATGGCACCCCAAACCATCACTGACTGTGGAAACTTTACACTGGACTTCAAGCAACGTGGATGAAGTGCCTCTCTTCTTTTCCTCCAGACTCTGGGACCTTGATTTCCAAAGGAAATGCAAAATTTACTTTCATCAGAGAACATGACTTTGGACCACTCACCAGCAGTCCAGTCCTGTTTCTCTTTAGCCCAGGCAAGACGCTTCTGACGCTGTCTGTGGTTCAAGAGTGGCTTGACACAAGGAATGCGACAGCAGAAACCCATGTCTTTCATACGTCTGTGTGTGGTGGTTCTTGAAGCACTCACTCCAGCTGCAGTCCACTCTTTGTGAATCTCCCCCACATTTTTGAAGGGGTTTTGTTTCACAATCCTCTCCAGGGTGCGGTTATCTCTCTTGCTTGTACACTTTTTTCGACCACATCTTTTCCTTCCCTTCGCCTCTCTATTAATGTGCTTGGACACTGAGCTCTGTGAACAGCCAGCCTCTTTAGCGATGACCTTTTGTGTCTTGCCCTCCTTGTGCAAGGTGTCGATGGTCGTCTTTTGGACAACTGTCAAGTCAGCAGTCTTCCCCATGATTGTGTAGCCTATAGAACTAGACTGAAAGACCATTTAAAGGCTTTTGCAGGTGGTTTGAGTTAATTAGCTGATTAGAGTGTGGCACCAGGGGCCATCAATTTTGAACCTTTTCACAATATTCTAATTTTCTGATATGATGAATTTGAGATTTTCATTTGTTGTCATTTGTAATCATCAAAATTAAACAAAATAAACATCTGAAATATATGAGTTTGTATGTAATGTATGGATATAATATACAAGTTTCACTTTTTAAATGGAATTACTGAAATCAATCTACTTTTTCATGATATTCTAATTTTATGACCAGCACCTGTAACCAGGTAGAACCCAAACTAACAGGAACCTGAGATGAATCAATAATAAGAAAAGTTAGTAGTTCCATGTGGTTTCCACCCACCACCAGCTCTACAGGTTCAGTCACAAGGGATGAATTATTAAGCTGATGCCCATCAAGAGCGACTACCTTATGAGAGTCTGTCGTGGGGAGTAGCTTGATGCCGATGTCTCCTGGCCAGGTCCCCATCCATGAATTCAGTATCTGCTCCAGAGTCCAGGAAGGCTGACAGACTGTGGCTGAGTGCACCAACAGACAGGGTAACAGGTAACAAAAACACTGGCGAGGCAGTTAGTCTGGCTCGGCTCAGCAGGATCCTCCCCTCCCCTACTGAGCCTGACCTTTTACTGGGCAGCGATCTGACCGATGCCCCTCTCCTCTGCAGTAGAAACAGAGCTGGATACTGTAGCAGCACTCGCTCTCCTCCTGGAAAACCAGGGGGAATGGTCGGATTATTCTGTAACGCGAACTGAAGCTTGGACCCAATATTCAGCAGACAAACAGAAGGTTTCAAAACAGGTTTATTTAAAGGTAACAAAAAGAGGACGATGGAAACCCCTCAAAGCAGGTTTTCTCTGCTGAGACAGGAAACTCAGCAGGAGTGGAGAAGACAACAAAAAAAAGACAGGGAAAAGGGCAAAAATCAAAAACACATGGGCAAAAAACTGAGAAGAATTCCACAGAACAGAA